AAAATAAATTAAAAAAAATAAATAAGGAGAAGAGCGATTGCCAGGAGGGGAGGAAAACGGGAAATAAAATCAAGTTAGATCATGTACAGGTACAAATTCCCTATGATGAATGCGATCAATATGCATGCCTAAAACATACCAATAAACTAATTTTTTTTTAAAAAGACCCAGTATAGACAAAATAAGGGAGAACAACAACTTCCTAGTGTTCACATATGTGCAAAAGAGCAGTAATGGGGATTTCACTCACCCAACAGCACCAGACTGCGGTAGGTCTCCAGCATCACGTCCCTGTACAGGGCCCGCTGAGCATTGTCCAGGACCTGCCACTCCTCCCGTGTGAAGCTCACAAAAACATCATCAAAGGACACCAACACCTGTAACACAGCATTTCTCACTGCTCAGCCCTGGTCACAACAGCAATCACAAAGCCTAGCTATGAGTGAGTAGGAGGAGCTGTCTGTAATACACAGCTTGTTTTGTATTGTATCGTAGTGAAAGGTCACAAAGCTAGTCAGCATCAGAATTATTTCTTAATTACTAAAAATAGCATTATAGAGTTCAGCTTACAAATCTAAAACTACCCTTATTGCTAGAGGTTAAAGTGTAAATACCATTTGGCCTCTTCAAGGGACCCTATGATCTGGTATGAAGAAATAAGTAGGAACACATGCCCACACTAGTTTGTTACATAAAACTCATTTAGATACAATGCCAATGTAAATGTAGCAAGGAAGGACAAAATATAGTTGTTTTACATTCTGAGCTTACACTTCCCTGAAAACCCAAAGACATTAAGCTCTTCCCTCTGGGAACCAGGGCTGCTCAGCACCACAGGGCAACAGCATGAGTCTGGTCACCAGCAGAGTCAACACAACCACGGTAAGGGAACACCCATCGTACTGTGTCTGGGTGCGTGAGCCTGGCCTGTGACCGCATATAAACACTACTGAGGGAACTCGTTACGGACTGTGTGATTCTGCCTTTACATTTGATTATATTCCAACAGAAAACAGTTTTGCCGCCTGTCAATTTTTAATTACATTAAAGTTGAAAGCATTCACATGGCATCCCGCTCTCTCCCTTCTACATGTCACACGACTGCCTCATTTACTCCAGGTAAGCACTGCCACTCCTCAGATGGCAGCGTAAAGAATGTGGTCCTGGCAGAGCAGAGAGGTTAACTGAGCAGCTCTGCATCTCAACAGTCAGCTCCTAGAAGGGAAGATGGAAGGTTTACAGGCACGTCAGAGCGGAGGAACCAGAGCGAGACATGATGACTGCTGTCAGGACAGAGAGGCGAAAGTACACAGAAGAAAAAGATCTACAACAGACTCTATGGAGAAGAAAAAGAATAACAGAATCTGCTGATAACTGGTTGAAGAGGATAAAAAGTGACATTTTCCTTACAGGTTGCCTGCACGTCTATAGCCAGTTACATACTGGAGTTTGCAAAACTAGAAGACTATAGTGGCCAAGAGACAAAGACTTGAACCCTATACTTGGAGAATCTCAGGTACATAATACTGGATGTCCAACTGTCAATTTCACACACACACACACACACACACTCCAGAGCTGAGAAGAGCTGTAAGCTAAAGATTAAAAGAAGAAAAACTAGGCCCCTCCATCTCCTTTGAGTGAACCTTGAATGAATCCTTTCTCCTTTTTACCAGAATATGTGGCCTCCTTTGATTTATTCAAGAGGGAGCAAATGAACCTGAGCACAGGAGTCCAGGTGGCTGGCGACAGGAGGACGGGCATCCCTGCTAGGTGCTGGTTCCATTTCCTTCATACGCTTGTATCTGGTAGCAGCTTTGTTGGGTGTACAATAAATGTGCTGAATCGTATGAGGAACCTGTTCCATATTGGCTGTACAAGTGTTTCCTTCCCCGCAAGTGTGTAAAGGCTTCCTTTTATCCACATCCTCATCAGCACTTCATACCCTTTTGCTTATGGATAATAGGCATTAAGTAGAGTGAGCTGTATTCATTGTGATTTTGATCTGCATTGCTTAATAGTGATTTTTAAAAAATAGTGATTTAAAAAAAAAAAGCTGAATATTTATTGGGGGACTTAGGCAGTGAGCAGCGGCTGGGGTTTGATCCTGGTGTGCAGTGCTGACCCTGCCCCTGGGGAGTGCTGGGACAGCGAGTGAGACTGGGCGTGGTGGTGCTCCCCTGTAATCCCAGTGCTTGGGAGGCTGAGAACAGGTGAATCTCTACAAGTCTGATCTACGTAGTGTGACCCTGTAGACCCTATACGAAATACATACATACATAAATAACCAGAATATTTACTGGGGGAACGAGCTTCTGCTCCAGAGAGGAATAGAAGGGGACCTGAGTGGGTTGCTCTAGTAGTGATTTTAAGTATAAAAAATATCTCTGTTCACCATTTGTATGGCTTCTTTAAAAAAAATGTGTATTTAGGTCTGTTGACCCATTTTTTTTTTTAATTGTTGACTCATTTTAAAATCAAGTCATGATTTTTTTTTTTTTTGGCAGAACCAGGGATTGAACTCAGACCCTTGCACTTGCAGGGAAGCGCTTATTCTACTGAGCCATCTCCCCGGCCCCAAGTCATGATTATTATATTATTTTCCCATGAAGTTGTCTGAGGTCTGTACATATTTCATTTTATTTTTGAGACAGGGTCTCACTCTGGAGTTCAGGCTGGCTTTCGACTCACTACATAGCCCAGGGTGGCCTCACATCTGCAACAATGCTCTCTCAGGCTCTGGAGTGCTGAGATTACAGGCCCAGGCCACCACACTTGGCCATATTTTAATTATTGTTCCAAGAATTTATTAGATCAATTTCTATAGATTTTTTCCTATCAATTTTTTTTAATGCATTTACTATAGGGGACATAGGGTTTAGTACAGGGGATACAGGGTCTCACTACATAGATCGGACTTGTAGTGATCCTCCTGTTTCCAGCCTCCCAAGCACTGGGATTACAGGGGCGTGCCACCATGCCCAGTCTCAATCACTGTCTCAGCATGCCCCAAGGGCAGGGCTGGCATAACATGACAGGGATCAACCTGGCTGTGGTGCTCTGCCTAAGCAGGTACTTTAGCCTACTGAACTATCAGGCTGGCCCTCCTATCTATTTTTATGTAGATCATAGCATTTCTGGGCAAAGTTGGAGTCATTTTCCCCTTCCCAAAGTGAAATCTTATTTTATTTTCTTATGTTATTGTATTAGGTGATGCATCCACTTTAGTATGATCCAAATAAGTCATGGAAATATGTGTTGTTCCTTATTTTCGTTCTTACTGGGAATCTTTTTTTTTTAAATGTATTTAGTAGACCTTAGTACAAGGTCTACAGGTCACACCGCACATATCAGGCTGATTACAGACATGAGAGCCACCGTGCTCAGTCTCAGTTGCATCTCAGTGCGCCCTGGGGTTGAGGCCGGTACAGCAAGCCTCACTCAGGCCCCTGCGTCTGCCTAAGCAGGAGCTTCAGTCCGCTGAGCTATCTGGCTGGCCTATTTTCTGTTTTTTTTGAGACATGGTCCCACTATGCAGTTTAGGCTGGCTTAGAGCTCATTTTGTAGCCCAGGCTGGTCTCAAACTCACAACAATCCTCCTGGCTCTGCCTCCTGAGTGCTGGGATTACAGGTGTGCACCACCACACCTAGCATTACTGGGAATCTTTACTTACTGTTAGGCATGGTGTTCTGGTTAGACTGTGAGGCAGGTGCTACAGGAGGTGGAGTTAGTCACATACTGCAGTCTCCCCTACACAGTACTCCGTTGTCACCTCTGCAGTCTGCTTGTGAGCCTGAAACAATCTCACTATGAATAATACTGCTAAGGATTATGTAAAAATTGAAAGTTTACCATCTGTGGGGCCAACATCCTAGCTATTAAGGGATACATGTAGCTCACATCTTCAGGTCAGACACAGGTGCTTAACACATGAGCCGTTGGAGGACAATCCATATCCAAGCCAAAGCAAACTGTAGCAAGTGCTTTGCTTGAAGAGGGATAGCAGGATGGTTTTTTCATTTTCCTTTTATGTTTTTATTTTTTTATGATTTGTGTTTTTTTATTTGTATTTTTATTTTTAAAAATTAAAAAAATATTAACATATGTTCATAATACATAATGATTATATTCATCATAGGTGGGGCTGGGAATTTGTATATGCACACAGTACAATTTAACCAACTTCTCTATAGGTTTGTTTTTGGTTGTTTTTTTTTTGGTGGTACCAGGGATTGAACTCAGGACCTTGTGCTTGCCAGGCAAGCACCTATTCTCCTGAGCTATGTCCCCGACCCTCTATAGTATTTTTAAAAGTACATTTTCAGCTTTGCATGGTGGTGTACAGCTGTAATCCATCACTCGGGAGGCTGAGGTAGGAGGATTGCCATAAATTTGAGCCAGCCTGAGCTAAATAGTGAGATACAATCTGAAACAAAACAACAAAAAAGGATTTTTTCAGTTTGCTTGTAGTCCTTCAGTATTTTTCTCCATTAAATTAAAAATATGCTAATAGAGATCTTAGTAGTGAACTTTCCTTCAAATGTAGGATAAACTCACAATTTTTTTGATCTTCATAGTTTTGATCTTCATGTTTTGTCTGCTTATCAGTTAATATTAATTTCCCCAGATTCCTTTTAATTTTCTTCTTCATTCTCTTAGGTTCTATTCAAACCATTCCATTCATTCTTTTTTTTTTTTTTTTTTTTTTATGTATTTGGCACAGTGTCATTACGCAGCTCGGACTGGTAGTGATCCTCCTGTTTTCAGCCTCCCCAGAGCTGGGATTACAGGCCTGCACCACCACACCTGGACTCTGTCACTGGCTCGGCACAGCTGAGGGTAGGGCAGGTGCAGCATGTGGGACTGGCGATCGAACCCTGATCCCTGCACCTGCCAAAGCGGGCGCTCAGTCTGCTGTACTATCTCACTGGCCCGCATTTCATTCATTCTAATGACACCAAGCAACACTACATTCTGCACAAATCTAACAAAATATGTACAAGATCTCTGTCAGGAAAACTACGTAACTCTGCCGATCAAAATCGTTGCATTAGAAAGTGGAGATGCATTGCGTGTTCAGACAGGAAGACTGAGTTTTGATACTGAGACACTGCCCCGTCCCGACACTGCACTGTGACACTGCTCCACCATGAAGCACACCAGACACGTGAAGCAGCTGGGTGATCACAAGGGTGCTGACTCCTGACCTACAAAGTTGTGACCCAGGATGAGAACTCTGGTGCAAGCCAGGAAATTCCGCGGTACCTTGAGAAAGAGGAGAAGATCATTGTAATGCCTTAACAGTCATTAGATACCACACAAACTACTTCAGTTTTAGACACTGAGTATGTAGATTTAGACTAAAACTTAGTCTCA